CCAACTACCGTACCACTCACGAAGCTGCTGGGGCGTGAGAGACTCGTGCGGACGGCGCTGGAGCTGCATCGCAGCAGTAGCAGCAGCAGTAGCCTAGCAGCAGTAACAGAAGTAGCGGCAGCAGTAGCAGTAGCAGCGCGGGCAGGCAGGCAGGCCGACAGGCAGGCAGGCAGGCCGACAGGCAGGCAGGCAGGCAGGCAGGCCGGCAGGCAGGCAGGCAGGAGGGCAGGGCAGGCGCGGCAGGCAGGCAGGCAGGCAGTGCGCTAACAAGGCATGTGCTCACCAGTGGCGGGAAGAGCAGGCGCTCGCCGGGCGAGCAGGGCCGGCGCTCGGCGGGCGGCTGCACGGGGTCCAGGGGCGGCTGCACGGATTCCAGGGGCGGCTGCACCAGGGGCGGCTGCTTCAGGGACCAGGGGCGGCTGCTCTGGGTCCAGGGGCGGCTGCTCAAGGGTCCAGGGGCGGCTGCACCAGGGGCGGCTGCTGCAGGGGCCAGGGGCGGCTGCTCAGGGTCCAGGGGCGGCTGCACCAGGGGCGGCTGCTGTAGGAGCCAGGGGCGGCTGCTCTGGGTCCAGGGGCGGCTGCTCGAGGGTCCAGGGGCGGCTGCACCAGGGGCGGCTGCTGCAGGGGCCAGGGGCGGCTGCTCTGGGTCCAGGGGCGGCTGCACCAGGAGCGGCTGCTGCAGGGGCCAGGGGCGGCTGCTCAGGGTCCAGGGGCAGCTGCACCAGGGGCGGCTGCTGTAGGAGCCAGGGGCGGCTGCTCTGGGTCCAGGGGCGGCTGCTCGAGGGTCTAGGGGCGGCTGCACCAGGGGCGGCTGCTTCAGGGGCCAGGGGCGGCTGCTCTCGGTCCAGGGGCGGCTGCACCAGGGGCGGCTGCTGCAGGTGCCAGGGGCGGCTGCTCTGGGTCCAGGGGCGGCTGCACCAGGGGCGGCTGCTTCTCGGTCCAGGGGCGGCTGCTCAGAGTCCAGGGGCGGCTGCACTAGGGGCGGCTGCTGCAGGAGCCAGGGGCGGCTGCTCTGGGGGCGACGTTGGGGCAGGGCGGGGCCGCAATAGCGGGTAGAGCTCGGCACGAGGGCCGTAGGGGTGCGCGAGGTCGGGGCCGAGCCGCGCGCTGCCAAAAAGGGGCGGCGCGGCGGGCAGGGACGGGCGGCTCGCGGGCCCTACAGGTGCGCGACGGGCCAGGCGGGGTCGCGCGCTGCCAGCAGGGCAGCGCGACTGGCTACCGTGGGCGGCGCGAAGGCCCTAAGGCGACGCGACGGGCGGGGCCGGGCCCTAGGGCGGCGTGACGAGAAAAAACGAAGAAAAGGTGAAAATAAACGCGCGTCGCGCGGCCAGCAGGGCGGCGCGACGGGTGGGGCAGCTCGACAGGCAGGGGAAACCCTAAAAAAAATAGAGGTAACGGTGGGCCCACTAGGAAACTAGGTCCTAAGACCTAAGTGCTCTTAATACCATGTTAGAGTAGGGATGATTCAACTATCGAGAAGGTTTGGTACAAGAGTGAAACCTAAGGGGTTGTACCCCACAGTGAGTACCCCACTAAAGCCTAACTAGACTATAATATATAAACATATGTTTGACACATACTCCTCCGGGGTCCCCGGGTTGAGCATCAGGGACATGGATTGCCTGGTCTTGGGCATCCACTTTGCTTCACCCCCGTCTGTCGTCATTAAGAGATATCCTTCCGCGATTAACCGCCCTGGCTTGTGCAGCTGGAGCTTTTCGGCCAGCCGTTTGCCGATCAGGACATGTGCCGCCCCTGTGTCGACTATGGCTCGTTGCGCTGCGAAGCCTTCGATGGTAACTGCTCCCGCCGCTATGGTTAGCACTGTAGCCTGACAGGCCATCCTCTCCCTTGGGTGTCGGTACGCTGCTCCTGGGGCTTCCGAGCTACCACTTGCACGTTGCCTTGGCCCGTCTTCCCGCCGTACATCCTCAGGAAAGCTCTGCCTCCGCGTAGCTCTCAGCAGGCCCAGCTCATCTCAGTCACGCGCCGGCTGCGCCATAAGCATAAACTCGGGTTTCCCTCCCCCCTCTTCTTCTTTCGCCACCATAGCTGGCTCCTTCTGCTCGAAAGCTTCCAGCTCTGCTAACTGCGCTCGCAGCCGCGCGATGGTGGTTTGCCGATCCTCCCCTCCTTCCGCTCCTCGCCGTTCTCTTCTCGATGTCCCTTCCGATTGCAACGCGCGCAGATCGGCGGCCCCGGGCATTCCCTTCGCCTATGATCTCTGCTCCTGCACAGCGAGCAGGCCGCAGGGTTACGGCAATCTCGCCGCAGGTGCCCGGTCAGTCCGCAGTTATGACAGCGCCGAGGCTCCTCGTGGCCCCTTTCCTCTGTTTCCGGGTAAGCTGATGTCGCCGCCCATGCCGGCCGCCTTCTCTCCGGTCCCCTATCTGCCGCACGTTCCACTTCGTAGAGCCGCCGCTCTGTTTCCACGCGCTTCACGATCTCGTATGCCTCCCTTAATGTCGCTTCTGGCCCCATCTCGAACACCCTCACTTCCACGTCTTGCCGCAGGGGCTGACTCAGCCCATTCACAAACTTCCCTATCAACTGGCCTTGATCGGTGCAGTTCATGTCCTCCCCTAATTCCACGAGCCTCCCGTAATAAGCCAGCAGCGACTCTCCTTCCCTGCGGCGGAACCCCCGAAACGCAACCACTCTTTCCGCCATCTGCAAGGGGAATTGCTCGCGAAGCATAGCGAGGAAGCGCGTAGTCGGATCCCGCTCGCCTGGCGCTCGCCCCGCCGACCATTCCAACAGCTCTCGCCTGGAGATCCGATAGTAGGTCTCCGCTTCTCCCGCCAAGGTGTTCGCCAATCCCCTGAAAAATTCCTCCGGGTCCAAGCGATCCTTCGCCCAGCGCGCCTGTAATTTCTCCAGCTGCATCACGTAATTTTTCAGACTAGGCCCTCGCCTTGCATCCCCCGAGAACCTCTCCGGTACTTCGATCTTGGGCAACTGGGTATACTTCCAACTCTGCATCGTCGTCTCGTCTTCCGTTCCTTGCCACGAGGCGCTCCGCTGGTAAGCGCTCGGTCCTCCCGGCTGTGCGCGACCCTGCTGCTGGTTACGCGAGCGCTCCCTCTGCTCATCGGACGCGTAATTCCCGCCATCCCCGAGATCCGCTCGAGTGCCGCCGTGCGGTCCACTCGCTCCATCGCTAGGCCCGTTCTGGCCTTCCGTTCTCTCGGTCTCTCGCGAGCGATCCGACGCTTGACTACTCCTCTCCTCGTTCGCTATCTCCTGTCCCTTTTTCGGCTCGATCGTCACCGGCTCTAGCTGCCGTCCCGATCTCAACAGCATAGACTGCGTGTTTGTATGTTAAGCCTCCTCCTAACTCATCTCGACTGCGGTTACGGCTCCGTGTTAGAACTGCGTATCATGAGGAAATTTGCAGTAATTCACGAAAACAAGCACGCAGTGGCAGTCCCATGGCCCAAGGCCCTGCCTTATGCTTCCCTCACAACCCTAGCAAGGCTAGTCTAACACAATGTCTATTGGTGGACTAGCTCGGCCGCCATCCATGCTGCTAACCTGCCTGCCTTCCAGCTGGCTTCTCGGCTCCCAGCTTTGCCTTGGACTCGGTGTCTGCAAGAGAAAACAAACAAACCCCCATGCACACCATACCCTACCACATTCTCATACCATGCACACGTCATCTCGCTGCCAACCCTGCCAGCGCCCCTTCCACAGCCCAGATTCGCCGCCCGCTCGTCTTCCGAATGCTCTCTGCCATCCCCTCTGTTGCCTGGCCGCCCCACCCTTCCGCTGACTTTACAGTTCCTCGCTGCAGGGGCTCTCGGTATATACAAATGTACAGTCCGCCAAATCTTCCAATCCTCCTCACTACACCCTCTGTCTGAAATCCTTCGGCCAAAACCTTAGGATTCGGACACTTTACTTTATTATGCTATTTCTAGCATAGGTTTATTTTATGCATGCATGAATTGCTTGATTTCATAGGCTAGGTGCTTTCCTATATTTTATTAGAGCTAGGTTGCGTACACCGAATTCTGGGTTTTTTGGTGGCCACCGAATTGCCTTCTACCGAATTCGGGAAGGGTCTGTCCGGGACGCTTCGCGACCCTCGGAACCTTCGCGTAACACCTGGTTACTGGGCCTTGTGTCGATCCTATATATAGCCTCGTGTTGTACCTGTCAGAGGTCCACCGGTGATCCCCGATTGATCCTAGGGAGGGGTTACAGGCACGTTGGCCTGGGGGGTTATGGGCGCACTCACGCGCTACTTAACAAGCCCTTTTATCCCAATAGTCTAGTGGTTGGGATTCTGACATGGTATCAGAGCGAAGGTCTCGGGTTCGAATCCCGGTGTGTGCACTTCGGGCATCCCAGTGCGGGGGGGTGTCAGAGGTCCACCGGTGATCCCCGATTGATCCTAGGGAAGGGTTACAGGCACGTTGGCCTGGGGGGTTATGGGCGCACTCACCTGCTACACAAACAAGCCATTTTATCCCAGTGGTTAGTGGCTGGGATTCTGACAGTACCCAGCTGATTCATTGAATTCAAACCCACTTTTCTGAGCTTGATCCTAGATCCTCACACTTGGTAATCAGAGCCTGTTTGGACGCGATTTTTTTCGACCACTAAAACCTAGCTGTTAAAACCGCGGGGGTGACGGCGGAAAGCGCCGCTTTTGGGTACGTAAACCAGTTGCTGTGAAAGAACAAGGAATGAATGCACTAGGAAACAGGTGGGTACAAGTAGGATGACCTAAAAGTGTTGTACCCCATATTGTCTACCCCACTACAGCCTACACTGACTATAGCATATAAGTCTGACACACCCCCATAGGCAAAGTGGGGGAGAACAAGGGGTCACAAGACCAGTCAAGCAAAGCAAAGCAAGCTCAGGGTGGATCACAACGTCACCACACATTCCGAGCACAGGTTCAAGGCCACAAGGCCAGTTCACATGCAGGATCATATATATAAAGGTAAACAAGCAAGTGCAGGTATATGTAGAACACAGTACAAGCAAGGTCAAGAAGTAAGCAAGTGAGGCCAGGTAGGCACAAGACCTAGCATCGTACAAAAGCGCTGATGATCACAAGGCTGAAGTGCCTTGGTAAAGATATCAGCAGTGTTGGCCTGAGAGGCCACGTAAGCAAGGCGTAGCTGACCACGCTGCTGTAGCTCACGAGCAAGGAAGTAGCGAAGAGCAATGTGCTTCGTTCTGTGCTCCAGTCTGTGCTCCCGACACAAGGCCAACATGGCCTTGTTGTCAACGTACAGAACCGGAGGAGAACGAGGCGGCTCTCCTAGGTCAGTCAGTAGGTAGGTGAGCCAGCGTAGCTCCTGTGCAGCCATGGCCCCCGCGTAGATCTCAGCCTCACAGCTGGAGCCGAGAACAGAAGACGAGCGGGTAGACCGCCACGAAACAGAGCCAGAGCCAAGGCTGAAGGTGTAACCCTGTGACGACCGCTGCGTAGCCTGGTCGTCAGCCCAAGAAGCGTCTGCGTGACCTGTGAGGACCACTGAACGCCGCCCTCCAAGCACTAGCCCCATGCCCGACGTACTGCACAAGTAGCGCAACACCCTCTTCGCTGCAGCCATGTGCTCTGGTCGGTGTCTCCCAGGAGCAACATAGCGTACCAAGATGCTAAGAGGGTATGCAAGGTCAGGTCGAGTGCAGGTCATCAGGTAGATGAGGCAGCCAACAAGCTCTGGGTACGAGCCACTCGGCTCTACGGACTCATCCGAAGGCAGCGCTGAGAGCGAGTGGCGGGTAGACAGAGGAGTGGCCTGAGGCGAGGAGTACGTGAAGTCGAAGCGCTGAAGGACCTGCTGCACCATGTGTGACTGAGTCAGGGTAATGGTGCGCTGTGCTCTGTCCCGGGTGATCTGCAAGCCAAGGTAGCTGCGCAGTTCACCCAAGTCTGTGCACGTGTGTCTCTTCTGCAGCTCGGACTTCACGTGGGCGAGTCCAGCAGTGTCAGCAGTGGCAAAGACCAAGTCGTCGACGTACACGAGGATGTAGAACGGCGGCAAAGAGGTGTCGGTGCGCAGAAACAGCGACGGGTCGGCAGTAGAAGGAGCAAACCCAAGAGCCGCAAGTGTAGTCCTCAGTGTGTCGTGCCACTCACGGGGCGCCTGGCGGAGACCGTAGACTGGCCGCCGGAGGCTCCACTGGGTACCAGGGGGGAACGACCCAGTGAAGCCAGGTGGGCGGCGCAGCCAGATCTCCTCGTGCAGGCTGCCCTGCAAGAAAGCTGTGCTGAAGTCAAGAGAGTGAAGCTCGTAGTCGCGCTGAGCGGCTACGTGCAGCAGCACCCTAAGAGTGGTCATCTTCGGGGTGGGAGAGAAGGTCTGAAAGTAGTCAACTCCCTGCCGCTGACTGAAGCCTCGAGCCACGTAACGCGCCTTGAAGACAGGCGGAGAACCCGGCGGCCGCTTCACCCTGAAAATCCACATGCCACTGACGATGTTCGCCCCAGGTGGGGGAACCTCGTCGACGTAGGTGCCTGTGGACTTCCAGGAAGCCATCTCTCCATCCATGGCTGACTGCCACTGTGAGGAGTAGGGACCCTCGATCGCCTCAGCGTACGATCGAGGAGTCGGGATGTCTGGTGCATCCGGGTCTCCCTCAGGGGCAATCAGCATGGACACGAGATGAGGCAAAGCAGCAGCAAAACACTAGAACTCCTCCTGCCTGTCCTCAAGGACGTCCGTGCTAAGAGCACACTCACCCCCGACGGACGGAGGACAGACAGACTCAGACTCAGCAACAAGACTAGCAGCGTAGTCTAGACGACAGTGAGCAGCGAAGTCGACAAGCTCAGCAACTAAGGCAGACGCAGCAGTGGACTCAAAGGAAGGGTCAGTGACAACAGTAGCCAGGAGACGCGTGACAGTAGGACTGGCAGCACGAAGAGAGTCCGACTCCGGGTCAGCAAGAGCAGGAAGAGAGGACTCAGGAGGAGACGGCAAAGGGACACGCTGCGGAGCAGTGGAAGGACGCAGTGCCATCTGGTGCGTGCCCGGGACCGCAGGAGGACGCTGACGCGGAACACGACGACTAGTGCGAGCAGTACGAACAGGCGACGCAGGACGAGACGCAGGCGCACGACGCTCAGCAAGACCTCCAGTAGGACCAGTGTAGGGAGAAGGAGCAGGCAGTGGGGAGGCGGGCTGTAACTGTGACTGCAACTGGTCAGGCTGTGGACACTCTAAGGGAGGAGGAGGACCAGTAGAAAGCGGGAGACCAAGAACCTGCTCAAGGAGCGGAACGAAGTACGGCCGCGGCCGCGCAGCGACTCCAGAAATAGCAGGGACAGCGCTAGGACCCCCAGCGGCAGCACCAGCGCCCGCAGCACCTCCAGCTACAGCAGCGCCAACTCCAGCACCCTCAGAAGCACCAGCGCCAGCAGCACCGCCAGCTCCAACACCAGCAGCACCTCCGGCTCCAGCAGCGCCTACGCCAGCACCCTCAGAAGCACCAGCGCCAGCAGCACCGCCAGCTCCAACACCAGCAGCACCTCCACCTCCAGTAGCGCCAACTCCAGCACCCGCAGAAGCACCAGCGCCAGCAGCACCTCCAGTGCCAACACCAGCAGGACCGCCAGCTCCAGCACCGCCAGCAGCTCCAGTGCCAGGAGCACCTCCAGGCCCAGCAGCTCCTGTACCCACAGCACCACCAGCAGCTCCAGTACCTCCAGCAGCACCAGCAGCACCTCCAGCAGGACGAACGCCAGCAGCTCCAGCAGCACCCCGGAGGCCGCGACAGTACCGAGAGTACCAGTCACGTAGCTGCTGGGAAGAGAGAGCTCCCCTAGGCGCAGCACCCCCAGGCTCAGGACCTCCAGAACCCACACCCCCAGGGACAGCACCCCCAGGCTCAGGACCTCCAGAACCCGCACCCCCAGGGACAGCACCCCCAGGCTCAGCACCCCCAGTCTCCGCACCCCCACGCTCAGCACCCCCAGTCTCCGCACCCCCAGGCTCAGCACGCTCAGTACCTCGCGCAGGACCAGAGTCGACAGCTACCTCGACAGGCTCAACCGGGTCTACCTGGGAAACACCTGAGGGAGCAGGGACCTGGGGAGGCAAGGGGTCTACCAAGGCAGCACCTGGCGTGAGGAAGAGCGGCGGAGGGGGGAGCGGGGCAGTGCGGTAGGGGAAGAGCCGGTAGAAGGGGACCGACTCGTCAAAGGTGACGTCCTGGGACGACAGAACACGGCGCGAGGTGGGGTGGTAAAACTGCCAACCAGGCGCGTCGGGGGGGAAGCCAAGGAAGACGCAGGGAACAGCACGGGGGGACAGCTTGTCCGCAGACAAGTCGCGGACAAAAGCCCGAGATCCCCAGACACGAAACGCAGACGCATCGCCAACCTTCCCCGTCCACCTCAGAGTAGGGGAGGTCTCTCGCAAGGAGACCCGGGGCTGAAGGTTGATCTGATGCGCCGCGTACTGAACCGCGAACGGCCACAGAAAATGGGGAGCAGCCGCATGGATCATGGACGTGCGAGCGACGTCCATGACCATGCCAATGCGGCGCTCAGCAATCCCATTTTGCTGTGGAGAGGCCGGAAGCGTGAACGTCTGGCGGATGCCCTGTGCACGACAGAAGGCTCGCAGAAGGTCAGAGGAAAACTCACCGCCTCTGTCGGAGTGCAGACGCAAGACAGGAAAGTCCGAGTCGAAACTCTCTCTGAGCTGGAGACGAGCTGCGCGGATCCAGTCGATCAACACCTCAGTGACATCATCCTTGCTGCGCAAGGGGAAGACTGCGGTGAAACGCGAGTAGTCGTCAACCACCAGCAGGAAGTAACGCTCGTGACCCTGTCCACGGACGCGGGCTGGGCCCCACACGTCCATGTGAAGCGTCTGCAGCGGAGCCTCTGTCGGAGGAAACTCGGAGGAGTGAGGAGCAGCGCGCTGCCGCCCCTCGACGCAGGGAACGCAGGTGGGGCCAGGCCCCGGAGGAAGAGAAGGGAGGGACCGGGGGAGACCCGAGACAAGGAAACGAGAGGCCATGCCTCGGAGATGAGGCAGGGAGGGGTGACCAAGGCGGTGGAGCCAGAGGAGAGTCTGGTGAGACAGGAGACGACACGAGCAGGGGGCAGACTCAGGGCCAGACCTGGACGCTGCAGCAAAGACCTGACTCGACGCAGCTACCTGAGGAGACTCAGCAGTCAGCGTGTACAGGCTCGACCCCGGCTGACGGGTAAACGTGGCCAAGTGTCGGCCCGTCGTAGCACACGTACAGTGGGTCACTCGCTGACGTGCAGGGGTGAACTGGTCAACCCCTGCGTCCTGTAGGTCAGCACCATTCACCAAGTTCGTAGAGAATGAGGGGAGGTAAAGACCCGACAGAGAGCCAGAAGGGGCCGCCGGACACGGTAAGACAGTGGAAAAGTGGGCAAGGACGGGACCCCCAGAGGGGTCTGCCAGGGAGACTGCAACCGGCCGACTAAGCGGCGTGAGTGTGGTGCGGTCTCGAAAGAAGGAGCGGGAAGCACCCGAGTCAAGGGTGAAGGTGCGTAACACCTGAGACGACGTGGTACCTGAGAGAGCAGACTCACCAGCACCTGGGGCAGCAGACTCACCAGCACCTGGGGAAGCAGACTCACCAGCACCTGGGGCAGCAGACTCACCAGCACCTGGAGGAGCAGACGCACTAGCACCTAGAGCAGCAGCCTCACCAGCACCTAGAGCAGCAGCCTCAATGCCCGGGTCAGGCGGAACACACAAGTAACAGTCACCCACATCACTAGTAGGCAATGCATACATGGCAGTGAGGATAGCATCATAGTCAAGAGCATAGGTATCTACCCTCTGCCTAAGCAGCTCCACCCAGTCGGGGGGCTCAGCGGCGTCGCCAAACGCCGTACGCCAGACGTCGCTCAGACGGGCGAAGCAGCGGGACTCGGCGTGACCAAGCGTCCCGCAGGGCTGACCAGTCCGAGCACCAGTGCGAATGACGTACGGACAGCGGGCAGAACTCCGTGACCCTCCACGCTGAGCGTACCACTCACGAAGCTGCTGGGGCGAAAGGACCGCGGGCGGACTACGCTGCAGCTGCACCTGGCCACTACAAGTAGCTCCCGAACTCCTCACGCCAGAACGACTCCCACTACGGCCACCCCGACAACCCCAAGTAGCGTACCACTCACAAAGCTGCTGGGGCGTGAGGGACTCATGCGGACGTCGCTGGAGCTGCATCTGGCCACCGCCAGGAGCAGGAGGAGCAGTGGTAGCCACAGTAGCAGCAGTAGAAGCAGTAGCAGTAGTCGTAGCGCGGCCACCCCTACAACCCCAACTAGCGTACCACTCACGAAGCTGTTGGGGGGTGAGGGACTCACGCGGACGGCGCTGGAGCTGCATCTGGCCACGCCAGAAGCAGCAGTAGCACTAGAAAGAGCAGTAGCAGCAAGAGCAGCAGTAACAGCAGTACGGGCAGGGCAGTGCTCACCAGTGGCGAGAAGGGCAGGCGTACGACGGCGGCAACGGCGAGGCCGCTACCACTGCAGGGCGAGGGCTCCGCGGCTGCTGCAGGGGCGGCTGCTCCAGGGGCGGCTCCTGCAGGGGCGGCTGCTCCAGGGGCGGCTGCTGCAGTGGCGGCTGCTCCAGGGGCGGCTGCTGCAGTGGCGGCTGCTCCAGGGGCGGCTGCTGCAGTGGCGGCTGCTCCAGGGGCGGCTGCTGCAGTGGCGGCTGCTCCAGGGGCGGCTGCTGCAGTGGCGGCTGCTCCAGGGGCGGCTGCTGCAGTGGCGGCTGCTCCAGGGGCGGCTGCTGCAGGTGGCGGCTGCTCCAGGGGCGGCTGCTGCAGTGGCGGCTGCTCCAGGGGCGGCTGCTGCAGTGGCGGCTGCTCCAGGGGCGGCTGCTGCAGTGGCGGCTGCTCCAGGGGCGGCTGCTGCAGTGGCGGCTGCTCCAGGGGCGGCTGCTGCAGGTGGCGGCTGCTCCAGGGGCGGCTGCTGCAGTGGCGGCTGCTCCAGGGGCGGCTGCTGCAGTGGCAGCTGCTCCAGGGGGCGGCTGCTGCAGGGCGCGGGTTAGGGCAGGGCGCCGCGGCGGTCAGGGGGCGGCGCGGCTGCTGCAGGGGGCGGCTGCTGCAGGGCTGAAGTGGCGGCTGCTGCAGGGCTGAAGTGGCGGCTGCTCCAGGGCGCGGGTTAGGGCAGGGCGCCGCGGCGGGCAGGGGCGACGCGGGAGCCGCAACGGGGCCGCGAGGGAGCCGCGACGGGGCCACGAGGGGCCTGGAGAGGGGCCGCGGAGGGGCCGCGACGAGCCGCGGCTAGCCACGAGGGGCCGCGAGGGGCCGCGACAGGGCCGCGAGGGGCCGGGAGAGTGGCCGCGAACGGCCGCGAACGGCTGCGGAGGGGCCGCGCGACGAGCCACGAGGGGCCGCGAGGGGGGGGCCGCGAGAGGGGCCGCGAGGGGCCGCGAACGGCCGCAGAGGGGCCGCGAGAGGGGCCGCGAGGGGCCGCGAACGGCCGCGGAGGGGGCGGCTAAGGGGCCGCGAGGGGCCGTGAGAGGGGCCGCGAGGGGCCGTGAGAGGGGGGGCTGCGAGGGAGCGGCTAAGGGGCCGCGAGGGGCCGCGAGAGGGGCCGCGAGGGGCCGCGAACGGCCGCGGAGGGGGCGGCTAAGGGGCCGCGAGGGGCCGTGAGAGGGGCCGCGAGGGAGCGGCTAAGGGGCCGCGAGGGGCCGTGATAGAGGGGCCGCGAGGGGCCGTGATAGAGGGGCCGCGAGGGGCCGTGAGTGGGGCCGCGAGGGAGCGGCTAAGGGGCCGCGAGGGGCCGTGAGAGGGGCCGCGAGGGAGCGGCTAAGGGGCCACTAAGGGCGGGGGACGCGGGGCGCGACTCGGGCAGGGGTGAAGTGCGCTCCGGGCAGGAAAAAAAAAACTTTCGAATTTTCGGTGGGCCCTAGGAAACGTTCCCACTAGGGAACCTGCTCTATACCATGTGAAAGAACAAGGAATGAATGCACTAGGAAACAGGTGGGTACAAGTAGGATGACCTAAAAGTGTTGTACCCCATATTGTCTACCCCACTACAGCCTACACAGACTATAGCATATAAGTCTGACAGTTGCGCGCTATTTTTTAACGTCCCCCTCGAACCGGTTTTCAAACACACCTCAAGTCCAGTGGCGAAAAAGTTGGAACTTTGACCGTCGGATCGATTCGAATCTCAACGGCCCGGAGAATTTCGCCCAAAAAAGTTGGAATTTGGAGCGTCGGATCGAATATCTTCTCAACGGCCGAGATTGGATGCAAATTTCAACTAAGGTGTTAGTCTTAAAACGTACTAAGCTAGCTACTAACAAGCTTTAGGTGTCACTAGAACTCTCTCCTCGGGGTCACCTCCGAGGGTCCTTGGGTGCCTGACCGAGGTCAGCCCCTATCCAAGGGTCCGAGTGTGTAGAGAGAGAGTCGTAGCAACAACTAAAGTGAAGTAGCAATCGTCGCTTCCTTGGCGTTGTCAAGAGAATCAACTATAGCAGCGTACTTGCAGCAGGCATAGGAGAAATCCTTCACTGAAGTTATATTTTGGAACAACAAGAACAACCTGTTTTATACTAAGCTAAATTATTCTACTCCTACCTTGATCTAGGTGTTCCAAATTCACACCTCGTAGCGCGAGCAGATTTTAAGGTTCCCTCCCATTCTCTTCGTGACCTGGCGCGCACTCGATGCGACACTGAAATATTTCGTCTTTCGCGCGCGAACATTGTTGACGGTGCCGATCCGATAATTTCACTTCGCGCCAATCTCGAACGGTTGCGATGGAGTCCGTTCAAAACCTGAACAAGTCGAAATGTCGGTGGCGATCAGCATTGCGTTCGATCGCTCAACTGCTGCTCGCCACGTGCCCTCGTTCCGAACTTACTTTTGATCCGAACTGTCAGTGCTGCTAATAAATGTGAGCAACCGAACTTACTCGAAATCTCGATGATCTACCCACCTGCGCTGAAAAACGATTCGCGAGCATATAGCGCTTGCGCTACTGAGCACGCTAATTAACACGCTAATGAACACGCTAATTAACGCGCTAATGAACACACTCCGAACACGCTAACGAACACACTAATAACACGCTCACGAACACGCTGCACGAGCAAGGACCAATCTCGCTCCTCGAACAGTGGCAGCGCGAGCAGCTGCTCGCTCGAACTCATGAGCAACTGCCATTTCGAACAGCAGCCATTCAGAACCACCAAAACATTTCGCTCAAAAACAAAGAGGTCAAACTCACTCTTTTGAACACCACCAGCCACTCCTATTGGTCGAGACCAGCCTTGACTTTACCTCGATTTTACCAGACTCGCCGCTCAAATCAAATGCAGCTAAAAAAAACCTGAACCATAACCTTAAATCGGCAGATTGAATTACAGAAAGGTATTTCTGTAATCAACATAAGGGAGAATTACGCGTCCTACAGGATCAACGCTCGTCATTTCTACAGTCGATTCAATTCGCAGTATGTCGACCAGCGCCTAGAATTCAATTATTTCCATCGCAAATCTTCTTGTAAATCGCCAAATGGAGGAAAATGGTGATAATTCCGTACGGAAAATTACGGAGTTACACACCGACGTGGACCAGATGCTATCAGCATTCCAGCGGATAGAGGAGCTTCTCGCGAACCAGTCGGCAGCCTCCACGGCAACAGCGAATGCAGCGGCGAATGCAGCAGCGACGTCAGCAGCAGCAGCGGCGACACCGACACTTCACCCAGCAGCAGCGGCAGCGGCTACAGTGAATCTTGAGGCGGCACGTCCGAGGATGCCGGAGACGTTCAATTCGAATGCGAAAGACACCGACGTCCGTCGATTCAGTGCGACCCTCAAAATTTACTTCGAGGCCGTTGGCTATACGACCTCGA